TAAAAACGATAAAAATTATTACATTTTTTGAGAGTTGGAATACATTGTTTCGAATGAGGATGGAATAAGATAGTAGACACATAACCCAAACCACACAAAATCAAAGTCTAAACTAAAAATGCCATGTTAAGAAAAATAGTTTGAAATTTGAAATTGATTTTATAAAAATAATTTTAATTGAGTAAAAAAAAATTTAAAATTTAATTGATTAAATTAAATAAGGTTAAATACATATTTTAAAACAAAGAAGCCACATGTTTAAACACAAAAAAACTATTAATAAAACTTGTTAATCTCCAACCTGCTAAAAAATTGTAGCACATATATGTTCAAACATACCAATTAGTTATTTCAACTTTATATTGATTCTTATTAAAAATGGTGATGGTGTTTTAAGCAGACCATTGGGTCAGACCCAACGCCAAAACCCACTTTAAATATAATTAACTAGCAAATAATAAATAAAATACATTAAAAAAGAAATAAATTGGATCAGAATTTTCAGACAAGAAGAAAAGAGATAAACCTGCGTTTCAAGCGACCTATTTCTCGCGTGTCCACCTTTATTGCGAGCTCTTCTCATCAATGGAGGAGATGTACAGGATTAGCGAGACGTCAATTTCAAAGGAATAACTTCGACGTGTGCAAGTCCCAACGGAGAAAGAAAAGTCGCGATGGTATAGGTGCTTGACAAATCTCCTCTGATTACAATCTGCTGTTGTTAGACTATGTTTCTAATGTGCGGACAAATGGTTTCTGTTGGGTTTGCAAACCCGTGCACCGTAAATGATTTTCGGCAAAATCTACGTGTAGCTCGCGGTGTCGGATAGGAACACTCGAAGCTTATCGAAGGTGAAGATCCCTTGCGTGAACCTGGATGTCGTAGGAGACTCGCTGGTAAAGGTCTCGTAGAATATCTTCGTCCTGAGTATACTTCACTTTTGATGTTGTTGTATTGTTTCGCCGTCGGAAATCATGATGGTTGTTGTTGTTTCTAACAGTGGGGAAGTTGATGTTGAGGGGAATGTCAAAATAGAGTGAATACCGCCGACGCCGCTTCTGTGATGGTGGTCCGCGTGTCTGTTGATTGTTGTAGTTTATGATCATGAAATATTGTTGATACGGCTAATATCATCTTCGATTCTTTCCCCGAGATACTATTGTTGTTATATGGCGGCAAGAACGGTGGCTTCGTCACTGCAAACTGGTATTGTGGTGAACAATGAATTGGTACTGGGTCCGTTGTATTTGTGTTTCAAGTTACTTGTTGCAGCATTTTCCAGTTTTCAGCTCATCTCCTTTCTTTTGTTTACACTGCTTGCAGGTTTTGTCGGCTGTTTTGCTGCATTTATTTGGAGGTGCAGGCTGTTATCTATTAGTGGTTCATGGTTGCTCAAAATGGTGGAAAGATTTGTTGTAGGTTTAAGGTGGTGGGAATGAAACTAGAAGTGATGGAAAACGAAGAAGGAAAGGGAAGATGGAAAAACAAAGACGATGGTAATGAGGACAAGGTGATGAGAGTGATTTGGTTTTGTATCCACCTCTTTTTCTTGTGGTAGCAGTACCTTTATGTAGCAGAAGAATATTGTGAAGGAGTATTTACACGGTGGAGGAAGATTGGTGAACGGAAAGGATATGAGATTTTTGGTTGCATCAGTTTTACAGGAGGTGTGTTCCGTGAGTTGTAAATAACACGGTGGATTCTTGGGGTGGCAACATGACGGGAGGTTTGATGGTGTTGTTTTGACAGAACGAGGTTATATGAGGATAAAGCTGTGAAGTATATGCTGTGAACTGTAACAGGTATTTTGTATGCAGTGAGACTTATAGGGTAAGAGTGAAATACGGTGGTGGAAAGATGTTGTCCTGGCCGAAAAAAGAAAGAAATTGAAGTGTGCAAAGTTACGGTTTGGTTTGCAACCACCACAGTAATCAATTAGGGGTGGAAATAAAAGTGTATGAATGTTGTTGTGGAGTGTTTTTCTTTGAATGGTTTGTCATAGTTTGAAGGTTATGAAGTTATGTTAATGGCAAATTAAAACGAAGAACAAAGCAAGGTTGGAAAGTTGTTGAAGGTTTTGGAGTAGTGGTGGAGGAGTACAAAAGTGATTAAAGAAATGCAAGAAAGTGATATGAGGTGGTGCGTGTGAATAGTGAAATTATGTGGTAGATGAAGGATGCTTCGAAGGCGTTTCCCGGTGGTTGTTAGAAATCTCGACTCAAGGCTATGAATCCTTGTTGGTTTTGTGATGTGAACAAACTTTATTTATGGTTCATACAGGCAAGGTTTGTATTGTCCATAGTAGCGGAATTCAAAATGAAACAAGGGTTACAACTTCGGTTTGATTGAAACAGCGGCGGAAGCTCGTAATGGATGTTGTCACGGTTATGGTTTTGTTTTGGTATTGGAAGTTTAAAGTAGTGGAAAAACTTTAAAATGGAGTTTATGAGTTGGTCTTATATATATGGTGTGAGAGCAAAGATGAAAAGGTTGAAAATGAAAGCTATGACATTTTCTTCTCTTTTGATTCTCTTTTATGTGTTAAGAAGGGAGGTGGAAGAAGGGTTAGTATAAAGAGTTGAAGTCGTATGAAGGTTGTGTTAAATGGATGTTATTCACTTCGATGATGGAAGATTGGTGATGGAATAATAATACAACGCAGTGGTAAATCCGGCAAGGCTTTATGTGAAGAAAGTGTGAGAGGTTTGGTTTGGCTTAGAGAAAAAAAATGGTGGTGGATGTAAAATGGAAGTGGAGGTTGTTAGCTGTGAAAATGGCAAGAGAAGAAGATTGTTGCGATGATGGATTTTCTCCTCCTGGCGGAGATTGGTGCGGAAAAAAAATGACAGTAATGGTGAATGGTGAGTATAGCAAGTTACTTATAAGATATGAAGGAGGATATGGTGTTGAGAGAAGGTTGAAAACAAGGGTGGATTAAAGGGAAAATGGGAGAGGTTGTATATCTTTCAAGACAAGAGAAAATAAACATAGCAGCTGATGGAAGAAGAGAATAACCTTCTTTTCTTTTGTTTTGAATCTCTTTTCTATGCACCGCTACAGTATGCTTTTGGTTTTTCTCCCCTTCATTCATGAAGGCCTATGCCACCTTATATATGACTAGGTCAAACCTTGCTTCTTTATTTTTTATGTCAACTTTCTCTCTTTGGGCTTAGCATAAAAGAATGGGCTTATAACAATATAATAGAAACAAATTTAGAAGTGAAGGATTTTATTATTATGAGAAGGAATTACTTGGTTGTAGAATAAAAATAGGTTTCGGAATTTTTGCATGAGCTTTATTTTGAACATGGTTTATTTGGATTTTGGATTTTCAAAACTATATGGCACGAGTTTTGGGTTAAATTAGAAAGAGAATGAATTTATCAAGAAATTAAATTCATGACTTGAATTTTTGAACTCTAAATTAACTTGGTTATGGTTTGAGGACAATTGACTATACTCTGACCGATTCACCATGAAAATGATGGCCTATCTCTTCTCTTGTTTCCATTTGAGTCCAAAACACTTGCGAGAGCCTGTTATCACCATAAGCCATACAAAACCTCCATGATCTAAGATTTAAAAGATCATGGTCTGAGTCTGGATGATCATCCAGAGGAAGATTATGATTCCACGTAAATGCTTAATATAAGAGAATGAGAGTGTAAGACAAATTTGGGGTATGACAATAGCAAAAGAGAGAAGTTATTTTGTTATTCTTGTATACTTGTAATCTTGTTCTAAGAGTAAGGAAATAATAATAGTTTATAATCAATCCTTATTGTTCGTTGTTATTTTACCTTGTTATCTTTGTTAACCCTAACCATGGTGTGTTTCTTGGTTATAAAGAAATCGTTTATACTTTGTTTAAATGTATCCGATTTACAACCGCTAATTTATTTAAAATGTTTAACTTTTATTTTAACCACTTAAAAAATAATACAAACAGATGGTTGTGATGTATTGACAATCTAAATTTTTTTATATTAATAGTGTATAACAATTAATCTCTTTATATATTATTAATTGTATTATCAATTTAAATATTATTTTTAATAAATGTGAAAATTATTAGTTTTTCTTATAAATCAAGGCGATATGAGATTTGTTTATAATAGTAGGATTATTATAGTACAATTCTATTTATCTTACGGGTGATAAATCATATTCAGTTGGTTGGATATATCCATTTTACCCACACTTTTTGTTGGGACAAATTAAGATTTTATACTTGCACACTTTAATGTGTCTTTTCTGCTCTATCAGATTTTTGCGAGCACAATATTTTACATATAATTTTATAATTTTTAGACTTAAAAGATTCAATAACTATTCTATCCGACTTCACATTTATGCATAATGAGACAAAATTTTAAACTCACACTCTTAAATATATCTATCCAAAGTTTTCAAATTTTTGCGAGACGGATATAAAAAGAGCGAGGATGCTTATTTACCACCCCTATTTTAATCTATTTAAGAAAAAAAATAAAGATAATAAATAAGCCACTTTATTTATTTTTGTTTGGTGGAAACTCAACAAACCACTTTGGTAAGTAGCTCCACGAGGGTTTAAAAAAGTCATTGTTCAAGTTTATACATCTCGCGCTCACCTCGTGCAACGCACAAGAAATACTAACTGTTATAATAATAACTCCCAATAAATAAAACAATAGTATAATACCCAACGTATCCCCTTTTTTCAGTTTCATCTTAATTTCTTCTTTCCCTAGTCTCTATAAATGCAAATTCTCATTTCACAGACTCACCGTTGGATCTACCTATTCCTCACCATCTTCTCCATTCATCCGTTTCTCTCTCTCGAACGGTAGGTAGGTAGTTGCATTATTCTCTCTCTCTCGAACGGTAGGTAGGTAGTTACATTATTCTCTCATGCTTGTTCTCATTTGTCATTGTGATTCTATTGTTTTGATTTAACCTGATTTGATCTGGTTAGGTTTGAAGGAAATAATTTGTGGTGGAAATTTAAGACGGATCCATGGCACGCAAGAAGATCAGAGAGTATGATTCTAAGAGGTTGTTGAAGGAGCATTTTAAGAGAATTTCTGGAAAGGATTTGCCAATTAAGTCTGCACAAGTAAGAGCTCTGAACCGTTCTTGATTCTTGTTGATTTGGCTCTGAATCTTATATAGTTATCGTTACCGTCTTAGTTTGAAAAAATAAAAGTGATGAATAGAGAAAGTAGTATTAATTCAAGTGGCATTGATAACAATTGACTCAAAGGAGATTTGAATTTCTCCCTTTAGATTACAATGTCACACTCTTAACACTAGCTAGCACATTTATGATGTACTACCCTGGTTTCAGGTTTATTGAATAACTAATGTATCTGATCTATATATAAGTTACCAATATAGTATGAACATTGATAGATAACAGATCTTGGGCATGTGGTCGAGAGTTCGATCCTTGACTAGTGTGTATGGAAAATCATCTCTTGTGATTCCCTTAAATGGATCTTTGTATCTCATATTAGAGTCTAACTTTCAGCTTTGAGTAACCAGTTTTTTAAAAAAATTTATATAAGTTTGTGCCTGGAAAGATCTAATTTCGATCTACAATAACATGATCTATAATGTGTTAGTTTAGCAGTCCGTGATGTTGATTTTCAATATGAAAACTAATTTTGTGTATTTAGCTGTGTGGCTATATGATGATGTATGCAACAGTGGTTTGTGAAAAAGTGCAGTGATCTAAAGTTGTTGTGTGTTTTTTGTTTCAGATTACAGAAACAACTGATATCAATGAGCTAGTAGATAAGGAACCATGGCTTTCATCTTCAAAATTGGTTGTGAAACCTGACATGTTGTTTGGAAAACGTGGCAAAAGTGGTTTGGTTGCTTTGAATCTGGATTTGGCCGAAGTTGCTGGTTTTGTAAAAGAGCGTCTTGGAAAAGAGGTGTGTTTTCTCCTGTCTTGTAGACCTTGGAACTGTTTTTTTCCACTCTTTTTGATCAAATTTTCTAGGTACTTCAGGTTCATCCTTTAAGTGTTTGTTCATGTCTTAATCTAAAATATAGGTTGAGATGGGTGGATGCAAAGGACCTATAACAACTTTCATTGTTGAACCTTTCATTCCACATGATGAAGAGTTTTACCTTAACATTGTCTCTGAGAGACTAGGAAACAGTATAAGCTTTTCTGAATGTGGAGGAATTGACATTGAAGAAAACTGGGATAAGGTACCAAGATGAACTAATATATATATTTTTCACCTAAAACTTTGATTCCCAATTTAAATTCTGCTCATTTATTGCTTTACTATTTCATATAAGCTACAACATGATTTGTTCATATTTCAGGTGAAGACTGTATTTATTCCAACAGGGGAATCTCTTACATCAGAGAATATATCAGCACTTATTGCAACCCTCCCCTTGGAGGTATATTTACTCTGTTAATTTGTTATTCTATGAATATGGTACCTTTTTTTTATCTAAAATGTATTCAAGCTTTATGTGTTGGTTATCTTTGAAGCACTGACACTGCTACGTCACCACCACCAACCATTTGAGAAATTAAAATAATTGAACGTAATTACATGTGTTACTTATTAGTTTTTCTTTCATGTATACAGATCAAGGGAGAACTTGAGGATTTTCTCAAGGTGGTTTTCAATATATTTCAAGGTATATTTGAAACATCCATTTACAGATCATCGAATGTGCCTGTGAGTACAACTTCATTGATAGTTTCGTTTAACTTTTTTGTTCTTTTTCCCTATCATGTTAGATCTGGATTTCACATTCTTAGAGATGAATCCTTTTGCCCTGGTGGATGGAAAGCCTTATCCTTTGGATATGAGAGGAGAGCTAGATGACACTGCTGCTTTCAAGAACTTCAAGAAGTGAGTTTCTTCCCTCTCAAGAATGTTAATTTTCATTTGAAGAGTGAGTATCATATGATTCATATCTCTAATTAATCTCTTAGAACTGATTTACCAAATGATATTTCATGATTAACATATGTTAATGAGTATGGACTTCTTATTTTCAGATGGGGAGACATTGAATTTCCTTTGCCATTTGGAAGGGTTATGAGTCCTACCGAGTCCTTCATTCATGGGTTAGATGAAAAGGTGAATAAAAAATTTGTATTCAATTCATTCATAGCTTTGTCTCAAGTTTGCCAATCTTAAACAATATGATTCTTAGTAAGTTGTGATATGGTCTGCTGTTCTTCATGGTCAATTATCTTCCTTGTACTATTATCTTCTGAATCATCCAAAGTATTGTTTCTACTACAGTTATCACGGTGCTATAAAATTTTATTATGAAAAGCTTATGATGTTTTGTTTGACTGTTTTCTTCTTCCAGACAAGTGCATCATTGAAATTTACAGTGTTAAACCCGTTGGGTCGAATTTGGACTATGGTAGCTGGAGGAGGTGCCAGTGTGATCTACGCTGATACGGTGTGTGTTTCTATTTCTTCAAAACTAAAATCATAGTTAAACCCTATTGTCTTGCAACATTAAGCAACTAACTTCTTTTAAACAAATTTCTTATTATATAGGTAGGAGATCTTGGTTATGCTCCAGAGCTCGGAAACTATGCAGAATACAGTGGCGCACCAAAGGAGGATGAGGTCTTGCAGTATGCCAGAGTTGTAATCGATGTAAATAACTCTTATCTCAATTCTTTTGTATTCTATTATAATATCATCAATTTACAGATTTAGCATTATGCTTTCTATAATCAGACATTTCAGTGTTTGGATTTGGAGTGTGTAAAGAATAAAGATAGGTTATATCAAATGCTTGCTACTTTGAAACCAATATAATAGTGCTTATGATCTCTCTGATAATCTCTTTTCAGTGTGCAACTGCAAATCCCGATGGCCAAAAGAGAGCCCTTGTGATCGGAGGAGGAATTGCTAACTTCACTGATGTTGCTGCTACATTCAGTGGCATCATTCAAGCTCTCAAGGAGAAGGTAGCTCTAATTTCAATGATTATTTAAAAAAAATTTTTTTTTTGAAAAAAAGATATAATAAACAGGCCCTTAATTGATACTTGAGCTATTACTAACCAGGAACAAAAGCTAAAAGAAGCAAATATGCACATCTATGTGAGGAGAGGAGGTCCCAACTACCAGAGGGGTCTAGCAAAAATGAGGGCACTTGGAGAGGAAATTGGCATTCCAATTGAGGTTTGTTATATAGCATATCTTTATTGATTGTTTTAAGAAACCAATTGATGTTGATTCACAAAATTACTTTTAGTTAACTCTTTATCTGATCTATTTGCCTTTCTTTTCAGGTTTATGGACCTGAAGCTACAATGACTGGTATATGCAAACAGGCAATCCAGTGCATCACTGCAAGTGCATAATCATCTGTATTCTTATAGAAATGCTGTCTGTCTTAAAGTGTATTCATGTGTAGTTTGTAGTGATTGTTGTTGATTCATAATTGTATTTTCAGTCTATCAGAAAGAATTGTGAAATTTGATAAGATAGAGCAATTATTGTTAAAAGTTTAGTAATCTAATAAAGTGGTTAAGAATGTTTGTATTGTGTAGAATTCTTATACTATAGTCTTGATTCAATAATGTGACATTTTGTAATTTGTTTAAGTTAAGTCAAGCTGCAATTTCTCTTCAATAGTTCTCACATTCAGATTTTTCGATAGAGACCTATTTGTCTAAATTGTATGTTTTATTGATGTAAATATGTCCTAAAACAAAAATTGTAACTTTAAAATTAAGTAGGCTAATATTTTAATTTAATAAAATATTTTTATTTTCTTTTTCATAATAAGTCTATTTAAACATGACAATTAATTTTGTTTTCTATCTCAAACAACATGCTGAAACAATCAAATCATATATAATTCACATAAGTCTTAGAAGAATTTATCCATTATTGAAACCTTTTCCACAACCTTGCCACAAATAACCTCACCAAAACTCATGCCTGGACAGCCTCATGAAAATAATAAAAGATGTTAAAATATATATTTTTTATTTTAATGTTTATTAGAGTTAATTTAGGTGATTAGTTATCTATTCAAAATTCTATGAACTTTTTATGCAAATAATTCAATTTTCTCTTTTTAAAGTATTCCAGTTAGGATTTTTGTTTACACAAGGGTGTCATTCCAATTGGCAACCCTTTGTTAAGGGCATAAGGGTGTCGCTAATTGGATTGGAGACACCTCATGTAGTCTCCAATCCAATTGGCGCCTGTGTTATAACCTCATAAAGGAGTCGCCAATTCATCTGGAGACTCCTTAGAAATTGAAATTTTTTTCTATAAATAGAGGTGTTTTGATCATTTACTTCCACGTCTCATCTCATATCTTTATTCTACTGATAACATGTATCGTCACTGGTGGAGAAAGTCGTCTATTCGAGAGAGAAGCCTCTGATGGACATACTATTTTGGAACATACAAAGTTTCAATCAACTTAAGAGGGAGTTGAATCGGTGGTTAGAATGAGGCATTGGTGAAAGGGAAAAAATCCATAGTATCGAGAGACTTGATCGACTGCGTGGATAGGTTCGTGTTAAGACCGACTGCGTGGATGGGTTCGTGTTAAGACCGACAAAGATGCAAGGGAAGTCATGTTTGGACCGAATGAAATTAGTTTGATTGTGTGTTGTGTGTTGTTAGTGTTGTTTGTTGTTAAGACCGCTGTAACAAAGACTCATCAATATATGAAAATATTTTGTTACAACAAATGAAACGATAAGCTAAATCATGATGCAGATGTTCCACCGGCATTGGGACAATTTTTTCGGTTGTATCCGGACTGACGACATATACTGCACAATCTTATCATTTTATCAGCAGTATCCATTTCGGTTCTTATACGCTTGTTGTTTGGGCGTCCCTTTTTCTTTCTTCTCATCTCATCGTTGTGCCAAACTATGTCACCTTGGTATGGAAGTCAATAATCCTCCATTGGTAGCACTGTGAAGCCTTCGTTGTATACGTTTATAACATTAATCGCCTTGTAAACATCAGATAGATAGCCATAAGCATCCTGACGAGCACGTGTGCATGCCGCAATGGCATGTGAGCAAGGTACACGGAAGGCCTGGTACTTGCCACAGTCACACCAACATTTGTTTAGTCTGACAGCATAGGATAAATTGGGCCTCCCCTCATTATGGTTCATTGTTTCTTGTACACTAAATGTTTGCCTATGACGGTCAAAGACTGTAACTACATGTGTGCTGGCTCTGATAGTATCCTCTTTCATCAATTTCATTATGCTTTCACTGAATACTTGACCCGACGTTAACACTGCATTCCATCTTTCGCCTCTTTTTGCGAAAAGTGATGTCAACCTATAATATGTTGATCTCACCAAAGCGGTTATTGGAAGGTTTCTAATTCCTTTGAATATCCTTGTCCATTTTTTGAGTGGAATGTTATCCAACCAGCTTTCTGCATCTGCATTTGACATCTTAATTTTGTTAAAATAGTATTGAAATGTTGGTTGAGTTAAAGCATACCCGACATTCACAACTTTTTTTGCGAAGGTTCTTGTCTTTGATTGCACGCATGAAGTTTTGTGCAATATATCTAATACAATACACATGGGTAGAAGGAGGATTATGCCACTCATTATCATGGTTATTGTAGGCACTGTCTATAGCAGGCAACAAGGTATTAAGTCCATAACACATACGCCAATTGGATTGGAGACTGCATGAGATGTCTCCAATCTAATTGGCGACAGCCTTATGCCCTTAACAAAGAGCCGCCAATTGGAATGACACCCTTGTGTAAACAAAAACCCTAACTAGGGTACTTTGAAAATATTTTTGAAAAGTAGGGTATTTTGAGATTTTTAAAATTTTTTTTTATTATTTGGGTAAAAAATTTAAATTCTGTTAGACCACTATCATATATTAATAAGGTGGCAGATCCATTATACAAAAAAAAAATAGTAATATTTTTTCTTAATTCAGTTTTGTTTCATAATGTTGAAGATATAATTAAAATGATTATATGTTTATATAATATCAAGAGAATCAATCTCTACTCTATCTTTTTCCTTTTATCAACCAACTTTTTTTTTCTTTTTTTTCTTCTATGCCTTCACATATATGCACTGCATCAATCCATCATCTAGATTTTCATCAGAATTCTATTATTTTCTAAAATAAAGATTCTTTATTTTTTATCATGGAATTTACATGTGGTTCATCTCCCTGGCTAATTTTGATTACACTTATTCTTTTGTCATTATCACAATTCAATCAATGAAGAATCTCTCTCTCTATACCAAATTTATTGCTCTCATCTTCTTCCCAGCCACAGCCTTCGCTCAACACATCATTGATTCTAATCCACCATCCCTAACTTCTCTTATCATCACCTCCACCACCAACACTACCATACTAATTCCCACCACAACTACTGCAATATCAGTTTTAAACAATTATTTCCATTCCAATCCTAATTGTGGTTACCAAACACATGTTAGATTCATTTTTCATGCACCCAAACGATAATCCGAGACATCCAATTGTTACTCCCTCTCTAAACAACAATAATTATCACTTCTAGTCAAGGTCGATTAAGGTTGCATCAATATCCAATAACGAATTAGGGTTCATCTATGGAAGCTTAATTCACCCACCAAACTCAGATCCCACTTCTATGGTGTAATACTCTGTATTTAATAAGATGCTCTAAATAATATTACTTGAAATCAACTGAGTTCCGGTGTACTCTGAGATTTATCTGTTGAGATAATTAGAGTAACTGATGAGCTCATAGTTGATTTAATTAATATTATTTGACTCTGAGGTTTTGTTAATTGGTACATTTAAGACATTTTAGATACCCTCAATTTTAGACATTTAACCAAGTTAGTCTTACTAACTTTAATGATATTTTTATTATATCATTTTCCTTCTCTTTTCCTTTCATTTTTGAAAACCTAGAGAGAAAGATAGTAAGAAGTTAGAGAGAATGAGGAGAAATAAGAGAAAGAGGAAGAAGAAAACCTTAGAAGAAGAAAAGTTTGGAACTTCGTTATTTCTTCATGAAATCATATCATCTTCATCATCAATAACTTCTTCATCTTATATTAGAGGTGGGTTCTAGGTAGAAACTCTAGGTTAGAGGTGGGTTATAGTGTTCTTATTCCATTTCCATGAAAAATATATGATTCATGTTATATTCATGATATGTTGTTTCATGTGGCAATATGTTAACTTTGATGTTGGATTGAATTTGGGTAAAAGTGGGGTTGAAAACCCCTTTGAAACTGTCATATTCAGCTGGATAGATTGTAGAAATTGTAGGGTTCATACAGTGAGCTCTAGCGAACTGCAAGCAAATATGACAGTCTGTCATGCTCGCACAGCGAGGTGAAAACAAACTGAAAGCGAGTACTTCCCCTGGTTGCTCGCACTGAAGGCTTTTGCTACTGCCATCTTTTTTTTGCCCGCCTATAGTTCGCACAGCAAACTCAAAGCGAATAAACTCACCTGGTCCTTGATAAGTGCTAAATTGTAGTGATTTTGAGTGTAAATAACTGGCACTTATCAACTTAATTATACCAATAAACCTCAATTTTAGTGTATGTTTTGTGTAGTTTACACTATAGTGTGTAATATGCATAATCATGTACATATATTTGATTTTGATAGTTTTTCAATCATTTTTGTAGGTATACAAGCAATGATATTTTGCCATTGTCTTATAGAGCATTGAATGAGCTTTCCAAAACTCCCGACCGCGTGTAAAACGGAGTTACGGTTCTCAAGTTATGGTCGAAACAAGTTTTGAGTTTGCTGTCATGTTCACTGTGTGAACTGGAGGAGAGCGAGCTCGCCAAGAGTTTTCCCAGCGAGCCCAAGGCGAAGAAAAATTGCCTATAAGTGTGGAAAAACACTACTTCAGGCAGTATTTATATTTGGTATGTTTGCAGTGCGAACCGGAGTTTGCCCAGCAAGCACGGGAACCCATTTTTACCTATAAAGTCACATTTTCAGATTTTTTTTAGGTTATGTTTTGGGAACCTTTAGACCCACTTGATAAGAACCATATTATTTAGTAGTTTTAGCTTAGAAACAACACATGGATGATGCATCTAGATGATTCGGAGTCAAATCATACTTCAATCGGAGATGACAAACCGTGAGAAGTTCAACCGGAGATGACAAACCGTGAGAAATTTGTTCTTCTTCCTTATTCTCTTTGTATTTTTTGTAACACCCCCTTTCTATACCCTCAAATAAACAATTAAATCATTTAAGCACTTGATAAAAGTTTCATCAGAGTTTAATTAATACATGATATAAAAGAGGTGTATCACATTATCATGAAGTTAAACACCTACTACACCTGCTCAAATAGATATGCAACA